CAAGCATATCATTCCAAGCTCCTTTAACTCGAACTACTTTAACTTCTTCATCTTCGTCATCGTATTGAGGTAATTCTTTTAAATCTTTTGATTTATTTTCAATTCCCTCTCTTCTTTCTCTTGGTGGAGTTATTAAATCATCATCTACTTGTAATTGTTGTAATAGTTTAAGATTTGTAATTTTATTTTTTAAAAATGTTTTACCTTTAGGGATTTGACCGTTTATAAAATCAATCAGTTCTTTTACTCTAAACTTTTTTACAAACTCATATAATTGAGTTCTGGTTTTATTGTTTATATCTCTTTGAAATTCTTTTATATATCTTTGTCTACGTTTTAAGCTTCTAAGTTGAGCTTCCATTTATATAGGAAAAATTTGTTTAAATAATTTTATTAACAAATTTTTTGTTAAATTTTTTTTAGTTAATCAGTGAGTGCCATTCCAATTTAAGATGTGCATCCATATGTCTTCTTCCTATTGGTCTTTTACATTTAGGACTTGGTCTTTTTTCATTATTTGTAAAATATTCTGCCCAGCACTTCTTACATATCGATTGATGTGCGTCATTAAGTTTATTATTAAAAAAATAATTTTCTAAAGTCTTTTCAATTTTACATTTTGTACAAACCTTGGTATAACACTCTTTACATATAGTTTGTTTACCACATTTAAATTTTCTAGTTTGAAAATAATTACTACAAATACTTGAATCTTGTATTCCTCTTGGTGTAGATTTCTTTTTATAACTCCAACATTCTTTGCAAGTTGCATGATGTCCATCTGAATGATTCTTATTCCTATAATAATTTTCTAAAGTCTTTTCAGTTTTACATTTTGTACAAGACTTCGATTGATTATTATCCATTTATTTATCAAAAATTTTTGTTAGTAATATAATGACTTGATGAAGATGGGTGAGCAAAGTATTTTTTAAATGATAACTCAAATTTTTATGGAATTCGATTTTTAAAATTTCCACACCAGTTTGATCTTCTATTTTTATGGTTCAATGCTAGATATTTCTTTATTTGTTTGATGCAAACTAATTGATTTTCAATTTTAGTAGTCTAATATTAAGATATTAAGATTTTTTTGACTGGTTATCCATTAAAAAAAAATGTTAACCATGGCCCTTAGTAGTGTAATATGTGTAACTTTTTAACTCAGATTATTATGTCTAGTTTTCTTAGTCATTTTCCTATGTTCTATGCATTTTTTTTTTTAACAAAAACCACAGATTCAGTAGTTACGTCTGGCTCACATTTTTAAGAAATCGTAAAAACGGGGTAGTTGTTCTTACTTTTGGCATAAAAAATCTGGCTCACATTTTTAAAAAGGTCATAAAAATGAGGAATTTTCCATAAAAATTGATGTTTCAATAGATAAAATGAGCCTAAAAACAAGTCATTTTCTCAATTTTTTGTGTTTTTGAACCGACTTCAATGGGCTGTTTTTCCAAACTCAACAAACTTCAACGACAAAACTTGAAAATCGACTCATTTTCTTAAAAAAATTGATGATTTGGGAAAATCTGAGTTAGAACTTAGTGTTAAAAATCAGGGTAAAAAGTCAAATTCAATGTTGTTTTTTGATATTTTAGTAGAAATACGGGTTTTTGTTGAAAAAAATGCATAGAACATAGAAAAATGACTAAGAAAACTRGACATAATAATCTGAGTTAAAAAGTTACACATATTAGACTACTAAATAAAAGTGACCTGTTTGAATTTTTTTTTGAAAAACACATAATAAAAATATGAATTTTGTGAATGAAAATATTTTAATTTTCAGTATTTTAAATAAAAAAACTATGTTTTTTATTACGTTTTAGGGTCACTCAGTGATTTTGCAAGGTTTTTTAGCTTTTCCTATTCCTAAGTTATACCGTTTTCGAAATATTTAGACTTTTTTAAAATCAATTCAATGTTAAAAAACCTGAATTATTATTTATTTAAAAATTAAAACT